CGTGATGATATTTGATCCTATGATGTTACAAAACTTATTTACTTAGATTAAATGAGAAAAACCATCAGTATATTGTTTTAAACTTTCATGGTCACTAACCATCATCAATCATCAAATCAAACCATCAGATTTTTATTAATTATTTGCAAGCAATTAAAAAATATTTTTAATGATGCTAAAGAAGTATAACTTACTTACTTACTTACTTACTTACGTATCACGCGCGTACATAAGTTACACGCATCCATTTTTTTAATATATATTAAATACACCTATATATGTACAGTGTATGTATTCTATCTGTTACCTTAGTATCCTATAAAACAAGCCTTATAGTGCTTACTTTGGGGCTAGGCTAATTGGTGTGAGTATTGGAAATATTTATTATTATTATTATTTATTAAAACCACGTATTTTGCCGGTGAGGTTCACCCGCCTATGCCATCTCCATTGGCTCTAAGACCCACCTACAGTTTGTCTATAAAGTCGTGACATGAATGTTTGAGGAACTAACATTATTCATGTGTCTGGCAACACCAAACTTGTGTACATCAGCTGTCATCGAGTTTCAGTTGTGGAACAGTTTTCCTTTTGTATTTTTTATTGTTTGGATTAAACTGTAATAAATTAAGACGAAACTACGCAGAAAGGTATAAAAATGAGTAAAGTAAATCAGAGTGGTACGCGGGAAGTGATTTTTAAAGTTTTTCAGTGATGTTTCGAAGACTACCAAGCTGGACGAATTTTGTGGGATTTGGATGATGTTTATGGGCGAACAGCATCTATGACGGGTATGTAATCGTGTAACTATTTGTTTGTAATTTGCCTGAAGTTACAAATTTACTCAATTTACGATTTTGAGACCAAAAAAGGCATTGTTTACATTGCACATTTTTAGGTTAGATTGACATTGGAAATAGGTAATATTGTAGTACAACCATTTCTTTTTATACGTTATTATGATTCAACTCGATCAGGTTTTCTACCAATTTTGAATTAATTGCTTCATGTCAATAAGTTATTGTTTCTATTTCGTTACATTTTTTTTTACTTTTTTTCAGGAAAATCAGAGAGTCGAATAGTCAACCAAGGTTTTAAGAACGATGGAAAGTTTGAAACTCCTGAATAAACAGGCAAGGCCGACCAAAGAAAGAAATGGTCACATAAAGAACCATGGCCAGATGCTTTTAGTGAAGATACCTATCACTAATTTTACTAACTGCACATTTACAAATTGTTTCTCTAAATAAACTTTTTATATACTATAAAATGATTTTTAGTGTTATTTTCTTAACAAGTGTGTTAAAAAACGTCGTATGATGATTCTTGTGTGTATTGATGATTACACACTTACACTATAAAGTACTATTTTATCTATAATAATTTTATTCTGATTCAATTAAATATGCTTGGTTAATCTTTTTATAAGCATAGGTACCTACTATATATAAAACAGAAACAAAATAAGACTGTATAGTGTGTCTTATTAATTACCTATTTTACTTGAATGAACTGCTAGTATCAAAATCATTTTGGTCAGACTGTATAGGGTTGCTACATGCATACTAGTGGCGCGACAAACTGTACAGGCTACTTTAAAAAGATTAAGTCAATATAGTTTTAGTTATTTAGCAGTGTTTGAATCAGTATAAATAATATGTTGTAAAGATTTCAGAACTAAGAACTTAAAAATCATAGAGAAATTTTGACGGATGGTATTGCCAACCTAAATATTTTACCAATATTAATGGTACCTATACTCACCATATGTCTTGGCATTTTAACAAACTATTTATATTATGTTGGCTGTTAACAGCGATGCTTGCATTGCTTCTAGGTATAAATTTTAAACAAGTACTAACCCAAATTAGTTATTTTGACCTTGACTTTGATCAAATATAGATATTTTAACCTAGACTTTGGTCAAGGGCTATTTTGATATTTCACACCTCGATCAACAAGGCCAATAATTTCATGTAGAATTCATTCATATATTAATTTGGATTACAGTTTTTATTGTATTAATATTCAACCTAAGATGTTTAAGGAAAAAAATTGAGAGGGTCAGTCGCGTGTCATATTATTCATTACAATGATTTCATTTCAAGAAGGGAGTCTTGACTATACTCAAGTCGTGTCAATTCTGCCATGATTCTCTAAACTTAAAACTAAATTTAACATTAGTCTCTTCTTTTCATTCTACATAGGGAATGACAGGGATTCACTGTTGGATCATCATCAATCATGCCAGATTCGACACTAGTATATATTTAAAGACAAAGATAAAAAATAATATTCAAATCTACACCATAAAGAAAACCAAAAAAGTATTCTTATCCCAAAAATATAATTATTCTTACATAAAGGCTTTCAACAAAATGTTTAATAATACTACTAAATAGAGCATGCGCTCCTTCTTGCTAGCGAGCCCGTGGGGTGCTGAGTGCGGGAAGCGGGGCGAGATTTTTTCCTGATGATGACATTGTTGGAGACGAAAATGTAGCGGAAAATTGGAATTGCTTGGACTGATGATAACATTTTAAAGTCGGGGTAAAATCTGTTTTCCTAATAGGTTACAGGGGTAGCAGTATTGGAAAGGTTAGGAAACACGGACTTAAACGGATTTCAAGCACAAACAATTTGCTTGAAATAAGTAAGTACCTAGTTACTTCCCTTTTCGCCACTATGTTTTTGACTACCGTTGTATGATAGCTATTTTATCAATGGCTACTACTAGAGATTGGAGAATTACAACAACACGGGCGGATTGATACTGGGCCCTAAATTCAGCGCATATATAGTGATCATGATCTCCTGCCCGATACAACACAAAATCACTGTTTTATATAATATCCTAATAAAAAATTCCTAATAAAAAGAAGGGAGGAATTTCTTCACCTGACCAATGAATTTCACTGAGGATTGGATTCACGGAAATTATTGGTGGCGAACTCATGGCTATATAAAATATGTAATATGAACCTTTTTTATTCCCAATTTGAAATCAAAAATGCCAAGTTTTAAACGTCCGACAGTTATTTGTGCATAATACTGATCTCAAACAACACAGCGCGGTGGATCCCTCCCTGCACTCTGCTCAGCGTAATCATATTGTAGCTGTCACGCTTCTGTGCAGAACTACTTTTGCACACCGATCGTTTTATTTTCTGGGCCCTTAGTGTTATAATATCCTGCACTCAAAATTGAACAATGTCCACGATACCAACAGATATTGTAAAATCTTTGTTACTCAATTTTTTCATTCCCTAATATACAAAGAAACAAAAGATTTATTACACTTTTACAGATAGTTAAACCTTACCTTATCCCTCTCATACTTTGACATTTGAAGTACCTACTAATATACTTAAATACTCGTTATAGTTATAACATTAGAGCAAGTTGTTATTTGTAGGCTTTTTGTTATTCTAAGCGTAATCGTGTCACTATTGATAAAAAACAAATTTCTTTTCTTCCTAGACCTACAACGTAAGACCAATGACCTTATAATTTGTTCACTATTCACTCTCCAGGGGCTGGAGAGTCCTGGTGTTCTGAACTTCTGAGACACAGGCATTCTGTCTAGTTCAAGCACCAGTCTCTCACAATCTATTTTACTGCTCTTATATTAACTAGCCTATTATATAATAACTAGCTGAGCCAGTGAACTTCGTATCGCCATAAAAATATGGGTGGTAGAAGGGCGAAAATTTAGGGCTGTATGTATTTTTGTATGATATATATAAAAAATAAAAAATAAGTCCTAAAAAAATTTGTGCTGGACCATCCTTAACATTTAGCGTCAGCTCACACCGAAACGCGACGCGACGCTGCACGCTGCACAGAGCAACTCAAAACAATACTTTATTTACTACGCGAAAAGATACACATTTCATGGTTTGAATTCAGTATACGCGTGGTGCAATGTATTCTGAATTCAAACAATGAAATGTGTATCTTTTCGCGTAGTAAATAAAGTTAAGTCGCGTTTCGGTGTGAGCTGACGCTAAGGAGAATAAAAAATAGATGTTGTCTGATTCTCAGACCTACTGAATATGCATATAAAATTTCACGAAAATCGGTCGAGCCGTTTCGGAGAAGTTCAATTATGCACATCGTGACACGAGAATTTTATATTTCAGATATTGTTTTAAACTTTCATGGTCACTAACACTATAGTTATTAACGGCATTGTTACCATGTACCTTGTTTTTTGTGAGTCACCGATATTTCGGCACTGTTGCAAGCGCCATTATCACGGAGTAACTGAAGTAATTGCGGGTACATGTTATTGGCAGACATATCGGTCTATCCTCTGACGTCGTCTTTTACTGCGCTCGATACCCCTACCACTATTCACATTCTCACTATTATCTCACAACTGTTCCTGATACACAATACTCACAGTATCAGTTCGCGGAACGACACTTCTTTGATTTTCGCGGTTTTTGCACATACGAACCACTGGATTCCAGACACTCGACAATTTAAACCCATCCAAACGATTGAAAATTCTGCGTTTGGTTATTTTAATCGCTTCTTACCATACCAATCTTGGTATGTAGTGATTGTTGACTTCGAAATGATCCTCACTGTGGTATGATTCTCTAAACTTAAATCAGATTCTCTTTTTCATTCTGTATTGACAATGAGAAGATACACTATTGGTGTCGGTTCTGGCGTGATTCTCTAAGCTTAAAAATAAAATTAACATTAGTCTCTCCTTTTCATTCTGTATAGAGAATGGAATGAAATAACAGGAATGCACTGTTGTCAAATTTAAGTTTAGGTTTAGAGAATCATGACAGACATTAATTTATCATATAATTTATAGTTATATTCTTCGAGATGTATATTATTATTATTAAGTAGTATTTTGGGTTTCAGTGGGGTAACTGTTACAAGAATGTGGCTTTCTAAGTTCATTACAAAAAATGACAACAAGTTGTCAATTCTGTCTGACTGACTGGTCTCTGGGACCAAAGACAATGTAAACGTCATTAAATATCATAATCTCAGGATGTTTACAAAAGTAGTTTTCCGTATACCTTCCACATTGTTTTTATTGAAAGTATAGATTTCGCAAAGGTATTGTTTTTCTGTTTGCTTCCTTCAACGTCTACCTAACAGTCAGTTTTCCTTCTGCTTATGAAATGACTAAACCGTCACGGTAAGTAAACAGATGTTGAATTTTTCGTTATAATTTTTTATCCATCAGCTTATAAGGCGGTTGGTACATAAAGACTGAAGTTGACAACAATTTTTGGTTCTATTATTTGAATAGCATATTTATAAAACAACAAATGTTCAAAGTCTGGTTTTTATTGTGAACTGACTTGACTCATAAATAGTATAAGTCATAGATCCAATTTTTTTTCTAGTAGGTATATGCTCACATGAAGTGGGCAAAAAAAGGACATAGCTGATTATTTATTAACCAAAAACATTACATCAGTAACAAAGAAGTCACCAATATTATGTCTTGAATTAAAAAAATACTTAAATTCACTGTCTATATAATAATTTTTCATAACAGTTATTCATTATATGTGAAGTAAACTTGTGAGTTTTTCTCTTATTTGTTTTGATATCAATATTCTTAAAAATACATATTACTTGTAGTATACAAGGTAGTACACCAGGTAAATACTACGTGTTACTATTTCTTATAATGATTCCTATGAAAACAATTTCCTTTACATCTAATAGCTTGTTATTTGTGGATGTCATGTAATAGTTTTTGACACCTAACCTTTTCACTCTTAATGGAAGATACAATGGCTTTAGTTGATTAATGAAAATAGTTTTTAAATATTCAGTTCTTATTTAATGCAGGCAATAATACTAAGTATAAATCCATAGACATTTAGCTTAATATTAGATTTAGGTGGTTAGCTGCCTAACACCTTTAGCTTTGAAGGGAATCGCAGAACGTAAAACTCTGGGTGAAAATAGGAGTTCCCCCATATAGGCTAACTTGCTGAGTGTTGATTTTAAAAAGATGACAATTATTATAGAACAGTGGCAAAAATGAAATCAGAAAATTTTTAGACATGGTTTATAAATATTCACACTATTAAACAGATCATGGAACGATATAACGAATATAACAAATCTATATATTGCTTTCATAGACTACTCAAAAGCCTTTGATAGTGTAAGCCACCAATCTATCTGGTCAACTTTAGCAAAACAAGGAGTATCCGGAACATATATTGCGGTTTTAAGAGAAATCTACCAAAACAGTTCAGCAAAAATAAAGTTAGAATCACTAGGCAAAAAAATCGACATAAAAAGAGGAGTAAGACAAGGGGATCCACTGTCACCGAAACTTTTTTCTGCTGTTTTGGAAGATATTTTCTGCAAGCTCCACTGGGATGAGTATGGGTTAAAGATAGATGGAAGAAGGCTAAGTCATCTAAGGTTCGCAGACGATATTGTGATCTTCGAAGAAGACCCAAGGCTCCTGGAGAGAATGATTCAGGAATTAACCAAAGAGAGCCTAACAGTTGGACTAAAGATGAATCCTGATAAAACTAAACATCTAACCAACTCATCTAAAATTGCTATTCAAGTCGACAATATCGCTTTGGAGTATGTGCAAGAATATATCTATCTTGGTCAAATTATTTCAGCCAGAGACCAAACTTCTAAAGAAGTGAACTCACGGATAGCCAATGGATGGAAGAAATATTGGAGTCTGAAGGAGATAACCAAAGCTAGAGACCTAAGCATATCACTGAAGAGAAAAGTATTTAATACCTGTATCCTGCCATGCCTGACATATGGATGCGAAACTTGGTCACTAACAAAACAACACCGAGATAAGCTCGAATACTGTCAAAGAGCTATGGAGAGGAGTATTTTAGGAATAACAAAGAAAGATAGATGGAAAAACGAAGACCTCAGGCGGAAGACCAAAGTAACTGACATCCTGACACGAATAGACCAACAAAAATGGAGATGGACAGGCCACATGATACGTAACCAATCAGAAAAATGGAGTAAAGTTGTTACCAACTGGTACCCCAGAGATGAAAAAAGAAGCAGGGGACGGCAAGTTGCTAGATGGGCAGACGAGATTAAACAGACGGTGGGAGTTCACTGGAGAAGAATAGCCCTAAACAGATCTGAGTGGCGAAGATTGGAAGCAGCATTTTTCCAAAGATTCGAGCATCGGCTGGACATCCTGTAGAGGCTGGGGGAGGCCTTGTGTCACTGACACGCTATGTTTACAACAAAAGAAAAAAAAAAAACTAATTTTCAAACAAATTTTGTAAACTGGTAGCTTTAATAAAGGCTTTTTTTATTTTATTTTATTTTATTTTATAAATATTATACAGTGGAGCCCCGGTAATCCGACATTGTCCATTACATATAAATATTCGCTAATTCACGATTGAACAAGTTACAACTTGTACACACCATCACTATAATTGTGCTCAACGCATATGGTATTGTTTTTTTATATTTTTTTGTAAATCCTATAGCATTAATGACGTTACTTTTATAATAAAACGTCTTTCTATTGTATTGTTTAATTTACTAAAGGAGATTGCTCAAATTGGCCCAAATGTACAAAAAATATTGACATATACGGTAATTCTTGGCGTAATTTATACTTTATTTTACAGTCATTAGATTTTAACGGACACCTTTGTATAATATATTCATTTTAAAAAGGACTTATATATTTACTGATTTGGAAAACATACGAATAATTTTTAATGGCTATGGGTGTAGTCACATTCAGCCAAAGAGTGATCCAAGTTGTTTATATAACATCAAAACAAATCTATTATGTAAAGATCGATAAAATAAAACATTTTTTTATTACATTGTGGTATTAATATCCACAAGTATATTATAATTTTTACTACATGCAAATGTGCTAAGACAAATATTATAGATGGTAGGCGACGTCATAAAGTCTATTGCCATATATGCCATAAACACATTATAATTTGTGATACACTAAAAATCTAAAATATGGGTATAATATAAACATAACAAAAATAATAAGCTTTCTTTAGCTAACGAGAGTTTAAAAATTCTCTCTAATCTGTGGCTCATTCACAAATAACACACATTTTCTGTCACACCTTATTATAACCGGAAATGCATAGATGATACCTGATTTTAAAAGTTACTCTTATGCATTAACTTTAAAAACAGGCAACTATCTATTAATCTACATGCTTTATATACCTGAATCTGATACATAATTTTAATACCTATGTACCTATTTGCAAATAACCTCGAAATCATTCAGTGTATATGGTTTATAGAAGTTCTCAGGAGTGTCCGTCAATAATATTCATTTCTACAGTAATTTATATATAATTTCGAATCTAGAAAACAATTTTTCATGATTATTGGTCTTTAGGCCAAACATATATGGAAGCTGAGCAATCTCCTTTGACATACATAACAAAGTATGATTTGTAATCTTATCATTGGATCTGTAATTTGTCGGATAACAAGGTACTCTTATGTAAAAAAAAACTACTAGGACTATAGGGGGTCTTAGGTAGTATTCTATAATCCGACAAATTCGATAGTTCGACACTGCCCTGCAAAATGTTTGTCGGACTGCCGGAGATCCACTGTAATTATTAAAATACTTGAGCCTAAAACCTGTATTAAACAGTATAGTTACGGTAAGAAACATAAACGTACACTGGACTTAGATTGTATGTACAGAATGCAAACAAGGTTCTGAATGACAAATATGACCATATAATTGGATGAATAATTAATAAGTACTTTTAAGATTTTATTTGTGCCAGCACTTAGTCTGTTTAATACAGGTCTTCAGCACAACAGTGGTTTTGTGGACAACTATGCATAGAAGTGAAGCAAAGTCCTTTTATAAACTCTAAACTAATGGCAAGTTTTTACCTTAAATTGTGCACAGTATTCCTGTTTGTAAGCATGATGAGATAGTTACGGTCAACATTTTTATTTTTCCAATGAATACACTGAAGAAACAGAATGGTCATGATTTTTGCAACTGATTTATCACCTTATATCACTAATAGACTTTTATACATAATAATTAAAGCTAATGGTTATGATATTTACTACTGTTCTGGCTGGTATCATGAAGTAAAAAGTTTAAATTGAAATCATCTTAAATTCATAATTTATTATTAGAAGGCTCACTTGCAGCATTATTGCTAAATCTCATTTTAACTAAAATTAGATTAAGCCCATATAATAATGTCAAGTTGATGTTGACGTTTTGTCATTTTTCTACAGGTTGAATTTAGTTTTAGTTGAATTGAGATTTAGAGAATTTGCTGCAAGTGTAAGTGTTCCTAAACCATTTTCTTTAAATTGTTTTGCAATTAATGTTATATTTTGTATTGTTAACTTTATACCTAATTTAGTTCGAAAATTTTCCTTTAATGCCCTTTTTTATTTAATATTATAGGACTGACTATTAAACTTGCTAGAATAATATCAATAAAAAAGTGCATTAAGGAAAATGGGCCTCTGAATCAACCTATCAACTAGCTGATCTTTGCCACTTGCCTGATTTGATAATGTGAAAATTGTTCCAGGTAATGGGCGGTTGTTGGTGCAAGGACAAAGCACCCGACGAGGAAGCGCCGTACGGCACGTCGTCGGCGGGCTCCGGCACCGGTTCTGTGGGCGTAGAGATGCGTCCTCAAGTGCCCGAAGTGGTACACTCTTGCATCGTCGATCTCCTTGTGCTAGAAATGTTGTCGCTTATAGCGTCGTTTGTTGATAAGTAAGTCTTTATTATTATTAGTTGGTTAGCACTTTAGGCATGCTATTGTAGAAATGTTTGCAACTGGATCATATCATTAGAAAATGCAGTCAGTAAAAAGTCCGATGTAAACATTGCAACAAGACGCAATGGTATGTGTGATCTAGAGGTACCTGATTTATGCTAAGACAAGAATTATAGTCGCTGCATTTTATATATATATATATATATATATATATAGAAGTTCTCAGTATGTATAGTTGCACCAACAGTCCAGACCTAAGTAAATACTTCCCTTTTTGCTGCAGAACTAAGCAACTTGGAACAATGGATGGACATACCTATTGCAGACTATAAACCGATGTTCCTAGTTACATCTTAAGTTGTTAGTAACTAAATAGATTTCGTCCTATGGGAATATACAAACTAAGAGTTAATTCTATTCAATTGCAATTTTAGAATCTGTACTCATCATCAGCCTATTAATGTGCCCACTGCTGGGGCACAGGCCTACCCTATGATTGAATAGGGAGATAGGATTCGTGGATGCTAACGATTGCCGATGCAGCCGGTACCAACGGCTTATCGTGCCGACCGAAGCACGGAGGAGCTTGAGGTAGTAAATTTTTGGTCACCCATCCAATGACTGACTTTTGCGAAAGTGGTTTAACTTCAACGATCGCAGCCGAACGCGCTAACCACTTGCGCCATCGAGCTCCTCAGTAATAAGGATCTGTATTATATACTTTTTTTAATGACATGCATAAAAATTGAAGCTGTCTTCTATGATGTTTTTTTACCATTGTAACATTGCAATTGCGAGTTGAAAGTTGAAGACCAATAATCACAGCCCGTCTTTTATGTGAGCTACCTCTAAAATAAGTATTCGGCTGTATAGTCATAATTTTTTTTTTCACATTACAAATAAGCTGAATCTATAAAAAAATAATAAAATATTAATTTTATCAATATTAATATTAAATAATAGAAAAAATTGTTGTCTATTTCTGCATATTAAGCGAAATGCAGTGTTTGTTATACTGAGAATGTTAATGCGAATTTCAATTATGCTCATGACTTACTTTATTGTTACGCTGCTCAGAAATCCTCTACTGTCTAAAGCTAAAATAAACCTTGTGCACCAAGAATTGCGACTATTTGCCAATGTGCGAAAACTTTCATACATAATAATTCTTTAACCAATTTTGAACCTTGATCCCAATCCCGACCACTATGTCTTTTTGAAACCCATCATCACAATCTTTTGATTGAATTCTTCGGGCTTTCGTCCGTACTTAAGTAGTACGTTATGAGTAATAACGCCTGTGGTTAAATATAATAATCTGTCTATCAAACAGCCAGCAGTAGATTAATATTTTGTAGACTACTTACTTTAACAAAGTACCCCACGACGCGGCGACCAAAGACCAGGAGGTATGCACTAATAATATTTAAGCGAAAATCTAAAACTTTTGACTATCGAAGTCAAGAGTTTCAGATTTCGTCTGTTAATATAAATGTGAAAGTTATTTTGTCTGTTTGTTTCACACCTAAACCACTGTTAACCAGAATTTGGTAGAGATAATTTGATAAATGGGACTTAGAAGACGGTTGTAGATTATCACCGGCCTCATAGCCCCCGCTATAATATCTAATTAGGCAAATAAATACTACATATTTGTTTCTTAGGTTTTCACGCACATCACTCATTAAATAAAACTAGTTTTTTACGGGTTAACAATAAATAAATAAAGTTTCGTTTTCGTTTAAAAAACTAGTTTTATTTAAATACTACATATTTTGCCCTAACGTCAGTGTGTCTAGATCAGTGATTACTGTTGTTGGCTTCCACGAACCACCACTTATGATTTGCACCCCCAGGACAGTAAACTTTGATCATGTTCCTCAAATAAAATACTTGGTTGGAGGTTACTTCCTTAGCATTACAATTCGTGTAGTTCTATTATATAACTAAGCCTAAATTATATTATTTTATTTTTACTTTAATGTACAGAACGGCATCTTAATTTTTTTGTTACATAACAAGTTCGATGTGCTAGATCGGGTTCCCTCTATCTGGCAGAATCTTGTTGCTCCGAAATTCATTTCTCAGACTTGGCAAAATCTTCTTTAAACAATTAGTTTTAGGGCATATTTTTTTGTAAATGTAATTACTTATTATTTGGCCGAATGTTTATATATCCGAATTTACAATAGCATACTGTTATACTTTGTTATTCGTGTTTGCTATTTGTAAACTTGACATCAACCTGTCCTTAAATTAATGCATGCTCTACATTTAGTCCAGGCAACGAATGCTCAAAAACAGGTATAGAGGGAAATGCTTGGAACACAATTTTTTACTTCGTAACTTTTCTTACGAAGTAGAAGTTGAGGAGAGAAAAATACATTAGTTTAAAAAAAAAAAAAAATTCTACGTCAATTTAAAAAAAAAAATTAAATCGTCCAAAAACGAACATTTTTATTAACGATTTTTTTCTACTCGATCGATTCCTCAAAATTCTTGGTGAATCGAATCACCTGAATTTTTTTTCCCGCTGTGCGCCTTCTGGGAAAGACGGGACAGGCAAGTACTTTTTTTTTCGGAGATTGAGAATTGTTGCTAAAGTTTGCGACACAGGTCGATAAATTTTACATGACTCTCTTGGGAGTGGCGTTACCCACATGATAAACTACTTTAGAAATCAAAATGTTTATTATAACATTTTGAATTGTTGCAAACGTAAAACCGACATAATTGCAATTTACTGCTAAACTAACAATCTCACGTAATTTTTTCATAGAACTGATTTTGTAGAGGGCAAGCAAATGAACAACTTTGATTCAAAAAAAATTTCAAAATCCCCGTTTACAAGCAAAAAAACTCAAAAAAAAAACGGTTTTTCTTTGTTTAAACAATTTTCCTGGCTACAAAACACGGGTTCTAGCGGGGACAAATGGAGGGCATATTCGTGGGGGTCTATACTACCTAGGAAAAATTGGCTAAGCGCTGGTGTCTTAGAATAGAAGTCGGTCCAAATTATGGCTATTCCGACTGGACTAAAGCGAGCGTACCGCTACAGCGGCCGGTGAAGCGCCAACCACCTTACTAAACAAATAAAACAGAGAAGTTAAATATTTGTATGTACGATTCTGACTGTAAACTTTCTGCGATATTATGGTTCTGCATTTTAATTATTGTGGATATTAAATTTATGCCTAAATATGATTCTAACTTACAAAATTATGCGTTTGAATGTCTACTAAATGAGTGAATGCCAGACGATTTTCTGCGAAATGCAATTGACATCGTCCACTGATATACTTAACTAGCTGTACCCGCGACTTCGTTGGCGTTGATGTTGGAATATAATTTAATCATACGTAGATGGATGACATAGTTTTTATGGTGAAGTGAAGAGCTCTGCTTTCTTTGGGCTCTACTCTTAATAAACGACATTTGGTGTGAAATTATGTGGAACATTAAACAAAAATTGCTGGGGTTATTTACACGCAAAAGAACTTCACACTACACTTGAAAAGATCGTTTTACTGCATCATCCCCTTCTCAGGGGATGATCGCTGCAGATGAAGCTTTTAGTCAGTAAGAGTCTGACATAACACAGCAGCCGGCTGTAGAGTATCCATGAGAATTTCACACCCGCTTCGCAGCCTGGGAAGAAACAAAAAAACGGAGGTTATTATACGTTATTAAAAAAAATATATCGAATTGATTTTGAGTTTGAGACGCAGTTTGATTTAGGTATTTTAGTTGAGATACATAGATTGATATTAATTAGTTTTTCTAGTTTCCGATAGACTAGTCTAGAAAATAAACACTCCTGCTTAATAAACACAAGCCTTATAGTGCTTAGCTTGGGGTTAGGCTAATTGGTGTGAGTGTTGTTAAAAGTTATGTTGTGTTTGTTTAAAACCATATTTTAGCGGCCTTTGTAAGAGAGTAGTGCTCCCATATCATTTCTAATTCGTTGGATATTTCTTGTAACATTACAGTGACGAAGAATCTCCGGTGTCTTTAGTAAAGCTGCACGTGATCGCCGACAAGGAAGACGGGTGGATCCAGGTGGTCTCATCGATGATTAACGTGATTCCAATGGAGAACCCGTTCGGGCCTTCCGCCATCATCATACTGTTTGATGACTGTCCGTTACCGTCCAAAGAGTCCGTCATTAAGGTGAGTCCAAAGTCCAAACTATATGTACGGTGCGCCAAGGATCTTTATGAACGAGAGTGCGCTGCTGTCTACGTAAATGACCGTAAATGACATACAAAATATGAAGTTTACAAAGAAAGCGGCGTTAGATTCAATTTTCGCCACCTACATAAAGTTCCTTGTCGCACTATACATGGCGTCCCACGGTCATGCCACGCGGAGGGAAGTATATTGAAGATAGGATATTTTACTGAATCATTTTCAATAATAAGTAGAACTGAGACTGGAATCAAATCGTGAAATGTGAAAAAAACCCTGTATTTTATGAGAACCGTCGCAAGGGTTAATCATAACGATATTTTTTTTCCTAAATAATAGCAGTTTTAAAGGCCCAAAAATTTTAAGATCTCTTAGTAAAATATATTTTTATTAATTTTATTTAAACAGTAATTGAATTTAGTTGTTTGGAAACTTTAAATTTTAACATAAATAACTCAGCATATTGTGTTGGCAATGTCATCACATGCCTGAAAAAAATCTTGAATGTACCAACCCGTCAGTGTCAACCATACTGCTTAGCATCGGCATCACTTCAATGCACTATTACACTCCACTTCTATTTCGGAAATTTTTATTTTTCACTAAGGATGACCAGTATTGCAGCTGTCTTGGAGAACCAAAAGGCCATTGAGGTAACACTCATGCAGCGTATGGCCAGCTTTGAAAAACACTGAATTGAATTAAAATTTTAAATTTCTTTATTTGTTTAATAATAACATAATGTATAATACAGTTACATTATAACATGATAGTAATCGAAATTAATAGACTATGAAAGGCGTCTTTTTATATCATTCAAACATCGAAAATACACTGTGAAAATCATACATATATTTAGTAATTTAATAGGGAACTTCACTTTGCCGCGCGAAATAAATACAATATTTAGCAACAGATTGTTACAAAACAACAATAATAACAGAGTGTCAATGAGGGTATTAATATTTCCCTCTGATAAACTTGAAAGTAGAACTAACAAGCCATTGCTGCAGCTATGAATATAAACGGAACAAACTCAAGATACCCTTGATAGGATTGAAGCTACCATCGAATAGTCAGTGTGGTAGGGTAATTACGCTATTCGAAGTAGTTGAGGAAATAGTGATGAGGCAAACGATATCGAGAATAAGTTTTAGCATAACGCAAGCTGCACAGTCGCAATTTACCAATGTTTGAAATTAACTTGTTTATATGATTTGGGTTATTATAATTATAGAACTCTTTTGATGCTTTTAGGATATAACTTTTAATTTGAGGGAAACCAAGGTTTTCGTGAAGTTTAGTTAAGTTTGTACGAAAACTGGTATTATAAGCAATTTTGATTGCTTTGTTTTGAATTAGGATCTTCGAATAGTTAGCATTACAGGCACTTGACCAAACAGGCGTAGCATAAGTGATACAGGGTCGGACTAATGTGGAGTATATGCGTAATTTAGTATCGGGGCTAAGATTTGATTTCCTATTTAAGATGGGGCTTAGTGCGTTCATAGCCCTTATACCTTTAATATGTAACTAACATATATTTTTTGTCCAGTTAAGTTTATAATCGAGCACAGTACCGAGGTAACGTACAGACTTGCTCCAGGGAATAATATGGCCATCAGACTTAAGACTTTTCCTAGGAAGTGAACGTTTCCTAGAAAACATTATAACCTCGGTTTTGTTAGAATTCAGTTTAAGTTTCCATGTAGATAAAAAAAAATGTCAACCTCTCTAAAGACCATTGGAGACGTGTAATGACGTGGTATCATCGTCGTCCGAAGTGGTAAAACTAGCTGTATCGTCCGCATAGCAGGCCAGATAAGTGTATGGTTGTTTTTTAATATCATTTAGGAATATTAGAAAAAGGATTGGACCTAAAATATATCCCTGGGGAACTCCGGCCAGTATCGGGTGGAGTTAAGAATGATGACCTTCGAGGTTTACGAAGAATGATCGACCTACAAGATATGACTGAATTAATTTTACTAGCTGCATGGAGATGCCAAATTCTAGGAGTTTATGAAGTAACCCATCATGCCAAACCGTGTCAAATGCCTTTACAATGTCAAGCAGTATCATACCTGTCGACTTTCCTAAATTGAGGTGGTGTGCTATATGTTCTGCAACCCTCGCCTTGAAAAACACTAAATGGCCTCACCAGCTGCTGATCTCAATTGAGCACGGAATTATATGCATTTAAAGACATGGTTGGAGGAATATTGACATTATTTCGAAAACAAATTAATGCCTTGGCCCGTAGCATCTAGACATCGTAGAAACACTCTTCTTGTGAGTGGAGTGGAGGAAAAGGATGACAAGGATCTACCCTCAACTATTGTAAACATCTGCCACAATAAGCTGGGTCTGGATAACATCACCAAGCTAAGATTTTCCGCTTGTCATAGACTTAGTTTAAAATCTCAAGAGCGATCATGGTCTGTACTGGTACGCTTCACTGAACTGACTACCAAATCTGAATTCTGGGCCAATAAGACCAAGCTAAAGGGTTCGTCCATAGTAGTGTCCGAGTTCCTAACTCCGCCGCCAGGAGTTGTTTTTTGCTGCGCGCAAGTACTTTGGAGTTCAAATGGTCTGGTCCAATGACGGCATTATTCTCTTCAAGCAGCCCACCGGCAAGTTGTGTCCTGTATTCGACAGACAAGAGTTGGATAAGTTGATCGCGATGAACACCGTATCACTCATATATGCGCCGTCGGCGACGGCGACAGGCGGTAAACCCACTACTGATTCTTCAGAATACATTGCTAACTCAAGGCTGGTTACTAAGGAGGCAACGAAGGTGTCTTTGCGTGTTTTGATTCGGTGCTGATTTTCTTCTTAGTTTTTCTTTTCTTTTTCGGTACTCTGACGTAATGAATTTTCTTACGGATTGATTACTTAACAACAGAGGAAATACTAAAGGAGAATGGTCAGTTTACTATGAGAGTTGGGCTGAATTTTTATTTCATTGCGTTTTATTGGAAAAAGTGTTACACAATAGAGAATTAGGTGTATATTGCGCAGGCAAAATAACATTAGAAACTTAAGTGGTGGTTTAAAGAAAATATTAAATTACGTAAGCATTTTAAGGTTATGTCATATTTAGATTCGATTAAATTCGATATTTATACCATACTTTATATATTAATAGATCAATTGAAAAATATATTATAATTAAGTATATAAAGAGAATTACAACTACCTTATGTCTAAAAACGTAAAAACTATAAATAACTAAGAACTTAAATATACAATTTACAAAATATAAAATATATCACCCCCAGCGCCGCCGTCAGGAATGGTGCCCAATAGGCTGGCAGCATTTCCACGTTGGATAGCGAGGCTAATCCGTTGGCCGAGGTAGCTGCCAGCCTTTTGATCACCGGTCACCTCGGTGAGTCTCTTAGACAATTCCTTAAAGAAGGAACGAGCACTTGGACCCCATGGTCCCATGTCCCACCAAATAGCACAAATATGTAGCTCTCATTGAGAGCTGAATATTTGCGCCGCTTGGAGCACTCGGCGGAGGCCGCCGCCGCGCCTGCAGCCACGGAGGTACTACTTGTATGGCACGGAGCAAGCGTATCCACGCAAGTTTCGTCCCACACAAGAGGACGACCCTGCTTCCAGGGAATGAGCGTCATTCCGTCAGGTCTCTTGCCATCATCTCGGAAGATGCCGCTGGGCTCTAGGGCCGCTGGCACATTGACTGCGACAAGAGCTCTGCGGATGACGTCATTGATGCAGGCGTGACGGGAGACTCGACCAGCGCTCATTTGGCATGAGAGACCATGGTGTCCCAACTCACCGACGCGAGTTCCGCAACGACAACGATGGGGGTGATTTGTCTTGACGCCGAGTCTGAGTGAAATGGCAAGTGATAGAGAACTTCTGTCAAGCAGAGTCCCGATATTGGCTGAAGGAAGAGCTTGCAGCCAGTAACCAGACTCTACTTGAAAGACCGCTAGGAGGCGAGCACGCTCAGCTGCGTTTTCAGAGGAAGCTAGAAGATCACTCTGAAGACGCAAACAGAGTGGCTCGTCCCATTGCCTCTGTGAAAATAAGGAGGAAGGTATATCTACTCCCGGGCATGCCCTGCACCAAGCATTCCTGGCCTCTGCAAGGTGAGCCGGCTCCACTACGCCTAAAGAAGGACATAGTATTTTATTAAAAAGCTCGGCTGTACCATTTGCAGAAGACAGAAAAGAGGGAAGGGCAATATGTGAAATATGGCGAGTACCAAGTCCTCCGAAACGAACAGGGAGAGAGGCCTGCTTCCAGGCGTTATCAGAAAATGAACAATTTAGAATTTTGGAAAGTGTATCCCTGAGCGAACTGTCAATAGATGACAGTAGCCCTGGAAAAAGCCAAAAATGAGTACTACGTAAAAAATATATGAATTTTTGGGCAAAAGCGCAAAAACGTATTAAATACAAAGCCATGTGAGGATTAATTTTTAACATTTTTTCGGAGGACTGCTGAAATTTAGAAATTTGTTCATCAATAAAAATCGGAATAGCATCGTCAAATATGGGGGACCCTAGGAGACGGAGTGATTTATTATCTAGAATTTTAATATTAGGAGCTAAAGCCGAAAATAATGCGTTGTAACTGATCCTGTGAAAATTTTGATTCTGGTATAAATATTTCGCATTTTGGATAATTTAGATCAAGGCCAATATTTTTAAATTTATCAATAATTATGTCAAAATCTGAAAGAACTGTTGAATATCGCCAGCGATAGTTCCGTCATCAAGGTACCACACATTAAATTTTGAATTTAGCGAATCAATAATAGGTTGTATTGCCAAACTAAAGATAGCGGGCCCGAGAGGATCGCCTTGCTGACAGAAAACAGATGAATGCAACAGGTTGTTTTTAAAAATAAGTTTAGTCGGTTCGCTGTAGCATTGCCAAAGATATTTATAAATAGTGGGCGTTTTTTCTTTAATTACTGTAAGCAAGGCACCTCTATCTACGGAGTTGAAGGCATACTTAATATATATATATATATATACATAATACCATACTTAATTATTACTAGGTATACTACTTTAAACTGTATTTAATTAGGTTGTGACCTTTTGTCTTCTATTTTGGACTGGGAGTTAAACAAAAATTTAATGCACTTCGTAAAATCCTATCAACGGACAGCGTATATTCGTAAACTGTTGCGTTGGTGAGCCGCTACCTATCTCTATTTAAATTAAGAAATATAATCGATTTTTTTCCTACGATAGTATCGACTAGGTGATACAACTTTTGTCTATGGTTATATGGTCGATTCTGTGGTTGAATTTTTATTCAGTTTAATAGCCATTTATTTATTATTTTAAAACTAAACTTTTTAAACTCTATATTTAAATAATAATCACACATACGAAATGATAAATCAGGAGAAGAATTTTGATACATAAATGCGTCAAACGCAATCTAGACGGATTTGCCCATTCTCCTTTAATTATGAATTCTACTGGTCAAGTCAAAATCTTTAATAACTTCGAAAAAAATCTAATTCTTTTAGCTCAGAAAATATGTTCCGAAACGCAGATTTCATAACAGCAAATATCCTGGTCAGATTCTGCGGATGATTATGAATCCTGTATAAGTCCAGACTCGTCATTTCTTTCTGTGGATGATCAACAGGCTGATGATCATATTATGGGCGGTCAAGTCTCAAAAGTTTTCGAGACTTTATAAAGAATTATAATGTCTGTCATAGAGCACAGAAAGGCACAGAGCATACCCTGTCACTATACTGAATTGCTTGACAATTTCACTGCCAACTTAATACACGCGGTTTTGATTTCTGAAAGCTGGTTCAAGCCATGCCATAGCTCCAAGACCTATGCTTTACCCGGATATGCTCTCGTGCGTCACGACAGACTGTTGAAGAGAGGTGGTGGCATAGCCATCTATCTCCGCACTAATGTTCTGAACAGATTGCAAATGGCATCGAGTATCTTTTTCTGGAGATCTTGGTATGTGGAACCAAAGTAGTTCTTGGAGTCGTATATTGCCCACCTGCTGTCAATTATATACAATCTCTAGTTTCTGTTTTTTCTTTTCGTTCCACAATTGAGTCTTACAAGTTTTCTATTCTGACCCTTAATGACACTCACCATCACATTGAAACTAACGACTCGTGGATTGATCATGTCATTGTTTTCTCCTCATTTTTTGTCTCTACATGGGAAATGCTCAGATACTGGTTTTTCCCGGTACGACCTTATTTACCTATCATATAAAATAAAACCTCCCAAACCTGTCCCTGAACTGGTAAAAATACGAAACTTTGCTCAACTGCACTCCGAGATATTATATAGGGATGCCTCGACTATTGACTGCTCTGGTGTTATATCTGCAGCAAATACTAATGAGAAGGTACCAAGTCTTTAATGTAGCAATACTATCATTTTTAATAAGCATGCACCAATTCGTTCAGTAAGAGTGAAAAGATCTCCTAAACCATGGTGCCTTTTGCGATGAGGAAAAGTGACAGAGCTTTCCGAAAGTTTAAAAAGTGTAGAAGTGATGAGAATTGGCCCTGTTTCAAGTCCAAGAGGAACCGCTGTACCCAGATAGTAAGAGCTGCCAAACACCGTTATTTCCATGACAATATTCTCCACTCTTCTGCTAATATTTGGAAATTTCTTAAGTCTCTTGGGTTGATCAAATCTAAAAGTGTCTCTATTCTTGCTTCGTTTTCTCCCAATGATACCAACCGACATTTCTCAGCTACTTCTTATTATTTAGGAAATAAATCTAATGTTCTCGATGATATCCCTCATCTATGCAATCAACCTTCAAACATCTTCCAATTTTCTGAAGTGACTGAGTCCGAGGTTTGCAAAACTATTATATTCCTCAAAGCTAGGGCAGTTGGGTGCGATGGCGTGAGCAGGCACATGATCTTTAATATTTTAGATAGCGTTCTCCCAATAATTACTCACATAATTAATGATTCTATCTCTTCTGGTGTATTTCCAAACGCTCGATGCAAGGCTCATGTTGTGTCACTTCCTAAAGTAAATAGCTATACAGCAGGTGCTACATCAATACTTCTTCTTTAATAAATGTTTTTTTTTGCGTTTTCAACAATAGGTATATTTAACATATCAATACTATTCCCGCCTTATAACTAAACGTTGACTATAGTCAACTGTCTAAATATGTTGCTGTCACCTTTGCTAAGAAGATAAAACCAAGTCTTACTTTAGTTTACGTTTTGGATTAAGGTTCTTTGTTTTTAATAGGTAATGAAGTTGTTTGAGCTGTCATCGCAACGAGCTAGCACTGGCGATTTGAACGTCAGAGTGGAACGCAACATTTGCGTGGTGCTCGGCTGCATAGCTGACAAGCTGGCCGGTCCGAACAGCGTCGCCGTGCTCACTGAACAAACACTAGACTACTTGCTCACATTCTTGGTCAGTACTAATATTATAAAGAGGTAATGTAAGTTGTGTGGTTGAGAATAAGACTTCTGTCGCTTTATATTAGTTGTTTATTCTGGCTTACCAGACATGGTACAATTTACGTGACAATATTTGGCACAAAAAAGAAGAGGAAGTCGCGTTATGACCACAGAAGAAGACTAGTGGGTGTACGCGACTTCGTCTGCGTGGAAATATTGGTTTTCCATAAAAACGTTGAAATCCCGTCCTAACCCTCTAGGGAGTGAGTTTTGGAGAATCCTTTCTTAGCGCACGCCTACATTATAATAGGTATATGGTGCCAAATTTGAGCTGTGAGTTGATAGAGCAGTCAGTAATGGTTGCTTTTTTATATATATACTAACGGCCGCCCGTGGCTTTGTCCGCGTTAACTTTAATTTTTTGAGAATCACTCAGGAACCAAACATTTTCCGGGATAAAAAGTATCCTATGTCTCATTCCAGGTCATAAACTATAGGCGTACCTTTCATTCAACTCCGTTCAGTAGTGTTTGCGTGATTGAGTAACAAACATACAAATTTTCACGTTTATAATATTAGTAGGATCGCAATGATCTCAAAATTCATTTATATAAAAACTTCGGCACCCTCCCATCCTCCCAGAGGTAGTTTAGGCAAACCAAAAATGGCTAACTTCATAATTTACTAGCTAAGATACACGGCTTCGCTCGGGAGTTGATATGAGATTACGTGGTAGTTGAATAAAAAAATAAAATATGACCTAAAAAGTAAAAAAATAATAATGAAAACATTTTCTCATTATGTACTGTATTTGTTTATAAACAACATTTTTTATTTTACTGTCCGGAGTATATATGTTATGGGCCAAGTGATTAATGTGGGCAGGATTCATAATGCCAGGGCAGTATGAATAATGCCCAGATATATCGGGCTAAGTGAGAAATTACAATCTAAACTCACCTATTTTTCACATGGCCCGGTCATTATTAATAATGCCGGACGGCTCGTGGTCCATGTAATAAGTCAGTGTTTGAGATAGCTTGAATTTATCGCTTAGACCGGGTAGTATGAATAAATTCAAAAAGTTGGTACTATTGTCAAAATGACATATGTCTCGCCATTTTGTGTTTGTTTTGAGATCTTGGTAAATTAAAAATAGTATGGGCCCAACACTTAGAAAAAAAGGTAAATGTGGCTTTACAACAGTCTTTAATTCAGAACCGACTTGGTCAACCCCGACACCCCGTGTTCTTGGTCTGCCCTACCCCTAGAGTGTTTTTAGAGCCCGGAGGTGCGGAGGAAGAGCAGCCCCCGCCTGCTATGACAAAGCCGCAAGAATCGAGCTACCCGTAACGCTTGAGGCTGTCCGGCGGCGACCAACAAGCCGAAGGTGTGAAGGGGAGTGATGCTTGCCACGCAAAGGCGGAGGGGCTGCTATTCCCGCAGAGCCGGAGATAAGGCAGAAGTACTAGTTCTTACTTCCCTAGTCTTTGCATCCTAAAAAATAGGAAACCATAAATTCTGAACATTTAACAGATTTAATGAAATTTTCAAACAAAGTGCATTGAAACTACTATACACTATAGTTTCTAAATGTAGCTCATCGTAAATTGATCGTGATCGAAGTAAAACCGAAGTCTGATTATTTAAATTTTAAAAATAAATACTAAACCATAAAACATGTTTTTATTATTACTCTACCCGATAATTGATTTAATTACTTATAATGCTCGGTCTATCTAAGTATTCATTTGAAAGTATTAAACATGCTTTACATCACTCTGCCCAATAGGCACTTGGCATTATTCATAATGCCCCGGCAATGTGATAAATTGATGGGTTATAATCACATTGCCCGCTCTTATCGGGCATTATTCATATTGTGATAATGCCCGATTAATCACTTAGCCCATAACATATACATATAATATGAATATTGTTACGTTTAATAAAGTAGATTAAACATACCTTTTATTTTTCATGAACTTTTAGATAAATTGTTGGTTTTTTTCAGATTAACAGAAACTGCATTTTTAATTGTAGATTTACGAACAGTTCTTAGTCAAATAAACACTGTCAAATAGCCTATTAATAGTTTTTTATGCAACTGTATAATGAGGGTAATAGTAATAGTGTCATTTGAGTGTTTTAATAGCTATTTATAACAGTTGCATACAAGACTTTATCTATACTCATGGTATGAATGCTCTATAGAAGATTCTGAAACCATGGGGCGTTCTAAGAACATAATATTCCTAAATAATTTCGGCGCTATGTAGTGCAGTCATTGAAGCATTATTGCTCCGAATTTTTTTACTGTGAACCGAATTGCATACAATTTTGGAATTAGGTTCATCTTACCCTTAACTTCAAAAGTGAAAATGATTTGAACTCCGCAACCACCCTGGGGGTGGTTGCCACCCCTTCTCGGGGGTGAATTTTTTTTTTTCAAAATAACCTCGGATATCGATAGAAGGCCTAATTTTAAGCAAAAAATCATCTATAAAGTTTTTCAAAAAATCCAATACTTTGAAAGTTATTGGCAATTGAAAATACGCAATTTTTTCACGTTTTTCATCGGTTTTTTGCAAATATCTCCAAAAATATACGTTTTATCGAAAATTTTATAAAGAACAAAATTGTAGCAGGTAAAACAATGAACAATTTGGTTTTTTATAAAGTATTCTAAATGCAATATTAAGCTAGACTAGCAAACCAGTGAACCAAATGTTCACCAAAACCTGATTTCTCGAAAACCGGAAGTGCTACGTTACTCAAATCCGGTTTGTAGTCTTATCAGACTATTCTTTACTTATAACTTAAATATTCTCTTTATCTATCTCTTACGGTTTGGCCGCTGAAACAGCACCACAGACAGACTTACTTGTCTAATAGATAAGAGATATTAAAGACCAAAGCCGTTTTTTATTGTGTCTGAAATTTAATCGATGTGGTCAATGCCATCTAGTGGCGAGCAGATGCATTTTATGCATTCTAATACAAAAGGGTTTTGTAGTGCTTGAAATAAGCTTTAAAATGAGCACTATTAAAAGTCTTTTGCACGTAAAATAAGTGAGCTGTATTGCAAATAAGGGGAGCATCTAATGTTTTTTCTTTTAAATCAATGGGTTTTATAAGTGCCATTTCCACCAAAATTAAAATTAATCGCATTCCGCCTAGAATTAACTCTATTATGAAGAGTTTGATAGATAGTATCAGTTTGGCTGCTTCAGGACACATATTTTTTTAAACAGTCACGATTAAAAACAAAATTTAAATTTTTTAAAAAACCCACTTTCTTTTCATAATATCTCAAAAATGACGACAGATACGTATAAAAGTACGGATTTAAAATTTAGGTATTTTTCTGAAAAATAATTTGGTTTTTTTGTTTTTTCTGTCAAACAAAAATTGACGGAGTATATGATTGTTTAAAGAGCGCGTGGCATTGCAATCACAGCCTCTCGTAAGCCCTTTAACCCTTCACTGTTTTAGAAAAAAGGTTTTTTACTATATATTGCAATAAAGGATGTTGTAGCTCTCTTAATTACCTTTATAATGGTTTTTTATAAATTGTGATAGCATGAAAATTGAAGGAGTTATGGTCCAAAAACTTATATTTTTTTTACTTAGTAACTGAAAATTTCGGAGTGTGTATATTTCGAGCAATGTGAAAGTACGCAGTATAATAGAGACCCACAACTATTGTAATGTGTATATATATACATAATATAGCTCATATATTTTGGAAACGTTGGCATGAATACATACCAACGTTCTTATATGTATATATAACACATTTGAGTGAAGGGGCTAACGAAAAAGCCATGTGATCAGCTGTACGTGCTCCGTTTATTCCTTATAATGTGACCAGTATATTTCCGTCTGCAAAGGAATGAGCACGTGTTTAATGTAATATTTTAACTAGACACCCAATTTCAATACATTTTGTTTAATAAAAAAATGTAAGTAGATAAAAAACCTGTTTTTTTAATAATATCATATTAAAATTGTGCCATAAAATTATATTATCCAAAAATCAAATGAAAATATATTCTACTAGTATTGACGTTCGTACTATTCAAACAGCACGATAGCAAGATAGATAGAGCACTGTGGAACGTGCAGTGGAGATAACTGCCAAAATAGCCCTCCAATTCAGCCAGAAGATGTTGAATGTGACAGCGACTCCGACATTGAGTCATGAATAATAATATTATATTTTAATAATTGTACTAATTTTATATAATTTGTAAATATTTTATTCAATAAATTGCAATTTTTTACTCTAAATTAAATTATTTTTAAATATTTAATCATATATATTTACTGTTTTAATTTAGGGGTAGTTTTAAGGGTAGAAAAGCTTAAGAATATGATAATCATTTTCGAGAGTGTGGAATAATATTTAAATCCTTTTCATTTTCTCAAAAAAAAATTTTAACAATTAGGGGTACTTTTCAAGAGTTGAAAGGGGTTTAAAAATTTGATAATTATTATACAGAATATAAAATATTACTTACTCTATACTTACATCTTTTTATGTCATACCAAAGTATTTTTTTGTGATTTTTTTCAATTTAGGGGTTGTTTGCAAGGCTTGTAAGATTTTCAATGGGTTGAAAATGATTTTAATATGAGGTAATTATGTTAGAAAATACTTTACAATTTCACCACTTACTATTAGACATGTTTACTAGCGATAAAATGGCTCAATGTCAATTTTTCCATTAAGTGGTTGTTAACACCCCTTAAAAATAATAGGCGGAGTTCAGATCACTTTCATTTTCACTTTTGAAGTTAAGGGTAAGATGAGCCTAATTCCAAAATTTCATGCAAATCGGTTCACAGTAAAAAAATTCGGAGGTAAGACCGTATTTTTCGCTTCAATGACTGCACTAATGGTAGTGTAACGAGCGTGAATGACAATGTTATTTTTATGAAATTCATAATACCACGCGTCGAGCAGTGAAAATTGTGGCTTACTGATGAATAGGGCGTGGAAGGGATTTATAATGCAAAAGAGTTTTATTATGCAATAAATTAATGACATCCAAACTGGTGTTATAATGGTTTTTTTAATTATGACATCGCATGTTTTAGTTTTGGCAATAAGTTAACTGTTTCAGAATCTTTAATAGAGGTTTAGGAGGTTAAAGCATTGGGGTAGATAAAGGCATTTTAAAATTTCATTCGTGACGTTATTAAACTTCTTTTTATCTTTAATATTGTGTTTCATAATATTTTTGAAGTTATACTTCTTTAGGCGCGTTATGAAAAAATGATGAGAGTGAAATTTTAAGATGCGCGCGCATCACTGTAACACAAAAATTAACAATTACTTTTGTGTTTACCGCACATTAAGAAAATCTACCAACAAAATAGAAATAGAATCTCTATTTAGTGGGTGCTAACCACTGCATTGTGAAGGCCTATCAAAAGTATTTATTAATCTGGAACAACGGAACCAAAGCGCGATTCAGGAGACTACAGCGCCATCTCTTGACCATTGGTGTAGTAGAACCAAAAACCACATCTTTATTTTTTGTAATAAAGTAACAGTTATAGGTATTCACATTTATAATATCAAAAGTATTTATTAATCTGGAACAACAGAACCAAAGCGCGATTCAGGAGACTACAGCGCCATCTCTTGACCATTGGTGTAGTAGAACCAAAAACCACATCTTTATTTTTTGTAATAAAGTAACAGTTATAGGTATTCATATTTATAATATTTATCCACATGTTTCTAGTTTGTATATTCGGAATACGTGTTTGAGTTTCATACAAGTGCAAATCACATATGTTCTAATAAATTATATTCAGTAGCGATTTTAATTGAATATTTTGATTATTTATTTATTTTTTCAAATTAAAACTGAACTTTATTGACTGTGTCCTTTTCCAGACTTTTTATTAATTTATTGTAATTAATTATTTGCATGCAATTAAAAACTAATTTTTAAACGATGCCAAAGAAGGATAACTTCTCACGCGCCTACATAAGTACACGCACCCATTTTTTTTTTATTTTAAACTTGATTTGATAAAACATTATTGTCCATAATGCAATTTAATTCATTAATTCCGAATGATTTTCAGATTATTCGCCGCGAACCGTGTTTAGTATTATTCGCGCTCATAGCTCTCGAGAAGTTCGCGCATACGACGGAAAATAAGCTAACGATCAAGAGTAGACTCGAACATGAGTCCGTGAACCCGCTCCTTACGTTAGAAAAGTTGGTGGACAGCGTCGACTATATGTGGCGGCAAGTTGGCTTCTGTGCCAAATGGACGCTGGATAACCTTTGTAAGTGTAATAGTTAAAGTCTCTTGAAGTGGCTCGAACCCTTGATTCACTCCCAATGCTGAAAACATTGGTGGACAGCGACGACTACATGTGGCGCCAAGTCGGATTCTGTGCCAAATGGACGCTGGAAAACCTCTGTAAGTGTTTAAATAAGCAAGAGCCCTTAAAACAACTCCTTACGTTAGAAAAGTTGGTGGACAGCGTCGACTATATGTGGCGGGAAGTCGGATTCTGTGCCTAATGTGTGCTGGATAACCTCTGTAAGTGTAATAGTTCTCTCTTAGGTCCACCTGCAGAGAACAAGGTTGACGGTCAAAAGAGGAATTCACGATCGCAAACCATATGACCTTACCGTTGCGTCATAGAGATCAAGAGCCTTTAACAGGCAATGTAATTATCAAATTCCAGATAGGCCTATTAGACTTTTTTGTCTATATATTTTTTTATTTAGATTATAATTAAAACTGCTAAGAAACTGAACCAGATTGTCCTTACCTTTTGTTGGAGAATGATTATTGAAATTGGCCATAAATCTATAGTAACATCATGCTACAGTCAGACCACGATAAGTCTGCAGTGGACTGACAGTAGCAGAAATTAAAACTTTGCACATGGCAGTACTGATTATAGTTTAATCAACTATACCTGATACTTTATTTTTAACCGGCCTAAAAAGGAGGAGGTTCTCAATCATACATATCGTGGTATACAGGATGTTTCTTTTAGGTTGTCAAGCCAGTGCGAGCTGATAGCGGAGTACCATACCTATCAATTTCACCCCCATGAATGTTCTACGAATTTTCGTTTCTTTCGAGTTAGAATTTGTTTTCGTTATTTTTTAAGTTCAACGATGAGACAACTTTGAAAAAGTGTAACTTCTTATTGCGTCCATTTTTCTTTGGTTTTTTTTAACAGAATGCCTATTGCTTGTAATTTTATAAGTAAAATAATCTTTTCCCTAACTTTAACCTAAGATATAAATAATTTGATCGATACTAAATAAAAATGAATTAAGTAAAACAGAATGGATTTTCAATTAAAATAAAAAAATGAATATAGATGTTCCATAACTTCTGACTAATTTTAAAAACTGCCCGACTACATAAGTTTTCATAAAAATACAAAAGAAGATGTACAAGTGGGGCATTATTTGCTGAAATCTGTTGTTGAAGGTTTTGTATCGGAAATCAAGTAATTTAAATATTTTATAATTTCGTAGTATCTTTGCATATTTTGTCAATTTTCACTTTTATTATCTCTTTTAGTTTAAGTGGAGCTCATTCAAAAATAAAAATAATCATTTTATGTTAACTAATCACTCGAAACTCCTGTCACCCTCCTCCTCAGGTATTTTTATTTTACGTTTAAATAAGGAAGTGTTTACGCGTACGTTGAGGACTCGCGATTGAGCTTGTTATTAAAGTTGTTAATATGATACGGATGTATTCTTTCGAATCATAAATCCGTGTACACAGTCCTACATGTGGATTCCTGTGCGCCGACTATTGCTAGTTGACGGATCGCGTGCCACTTCTTTTAAAACAATGTCGACAAGATCATGATCCGTTCTTAACGTTCGTGATCCGTTTGTATTCCTCGTGTTACAGCCTTCCTCGTACGGTCGATGTACTCGCAAAATTGCTCGATGGTCTGTATAAATCTTGGGCCGTCGTCCTCCTCTGCGTTGTAAATAATCGCGAAACATCCTTGCGGCAAGTGAAGCTTTCAACGCACGTACCCGTAGAAATAATGCATTTGCGCATAATCTTGCGATGAAAATTCGTAATCGCGAGGCATGATATCACTCACAAACAACCTTAAATATCAAGCTCAATCGAGAGTCCTCAACATACGCGTAGACACTTCCTTATTTAAGCGTAAAATAAAAATACCTGAGGAGGAGGATAACAGGAGTTTCGTTTAGTTATCATAAATTGATTATTTTTATTTATATATTGACTAAATATGCAAAGGAACTACGAAATTATAAAATATTAAAATTACTCGATTTCCGATACAACACCTTCAACAACAGATTTCAGCAAATAATGCCCCACTCAGTACTAATGTTCCAATCCCGCAGCCTATCTTTAATCTCGGTACTTGCGGGATTGCAAATTTTTGATCCCGCGGGATTCCGGTATTTGCGGGATCCCGCATAGAAATTAATGATATCAATTATTAAGTTAAATAAAACAACGAAATAATCAACGTATTTAAACTCTTATTATAGTTTACCTTTTAAATATTAAATATTACACATAAAAAAATAACATTGCACTTCTATAAGTTCTATTGAGATTAAAATCAACCTATGTTAAACAAACTGTAAGGAACTAAGGACCTCAATTATAATTTAAGACAAATTATTAAAATATCTAATTTTTTATTTGCTTTGACCAATATTTTGTTGAAAATGTTTGCGAAGAAAACATAACATGTCTAAGGTGTCGTCAGCCAAACTACTACGAATTTTAGACGCAATATAACCAGCCGCCGAAAAAGCCGCGTTTGTTGACACAGTCTTGCCTATATCCTCTATACGATGCTTAGATTTCAAATGCACGTGCAATCCTTTGGTCGATCTAGCAGTGGTTTTGCGAATCATCTTGCACAATTTACATTTTGCAGTTAAGCCATCGTTAGATTTAAGAAAATGAACGAAAGAATTGCTTGCGAAATTAGTGTATTGCACTGAACTTGTCATTTTTTTTCTTATTATACTCGTAGTATCACTTCACTACATTTATTAACGCACAAAACTTCATAGAAATGCGAAAAAATCATTCAATTTACTTATTAACAATATTTCAACCGGAGAGATTACGTTTATTATTTATGTTTACTTCCCAACTGAACTGACAACATTGCGCGCGATATGCGCCCGCGCTTCCCACTATCCCCACCACGTCCTCGAGTGAGACCGCCATCGCGCTCGCGACGAGACGTTTAGCATGTACCTTTTTGCAGTCCCGCATATCCCGCGGGATCCCGCGCTCGTAATCCCGCTAGGAGCGGGACTGGAAAAAGGCGCGGCATCTCGGAATACCGGGATTGGAAGCCCTAGCCCCACTTAGTACATCTTTTTTTGTATTTTTATGAAAACTTATGTAGTCGGGCAGTTTTTAAAATTAGTCAGAAGTTATGGAACATCTATATTCATTTTTTTTATTTTAATTGAAAATCCATTCTGTTTTACTTAATTCATTTTTATTTAGTATCAATCAAATTTTTTATATCTTAGGTTAAAGTTAGGGAAAAGATTATTTTACTTAAAAAAAATACAAGCATTAGATGGGCATTCTGTTAAAAAAAAACAAAGAAAAATGGACCCAAAAAGAAGTTATACTTTTTCAAAGTTGTCTCATTGTTGAACTTAAAAATAACGAAAACAAATTCTAACTCGAAAACTACGAAAATTCGTAGAACATACATGGGGGTTAAATTGTTATGTATGGTACTCCGCTATCAGCTCGCACTGGCTTGACACCCTAAAAGAAACATCCTGTATAGATTAAGTATATATTTTTATTGTTGTTCGCACATTTATTTCGATAATTCAGTTTTAGGATTCCGTTCACAAAGGGCAACAACGGAACCCTATTGCTGGCATTCTGTATTCTGATTGTTTGTCCGTATGCCTAGAGACCCGTCTAGATCGTAATCGGAAATGAATTACAGAACTGAAATTTTGGCATTTTATGTAGAATGCTTGATTTAAGCCGAAATTCAATTTCATTATGAAATTGAATTTTGTTATCATGTCATACATGTGATACATTATTGTCTAGAGCTCGTTGAGAAGGATAATAAATGAATATTGTTACGTATCGGGATGGGATTCGAAATTATAATTCTAGTTCAGGTTTGACAATTCTTTATTCACTATACAGTCCATACAGTAAACACTATATAAGTCCTTATACAATCGCACACAAACACTTTATTTGCACTTTGATCCTTAGGTAATGATTCCGAATTCACTGTTGAAACCCAACTGTCCCTGCCCTAAGCCAAGCGCCCTTAGAAAAGGGTAGCCGTCAAAGAAGTCATTTTCAGATCATTTTTGCTACGGGGTCTATCTCAAAATCGAAACTAGTAAAGAAGGTGAAAGTTTTCTTGATATATGATATGCATATATGGCACATCATTCATCAAATTTTTCATTTCAAAATCTGTACCTATTTCAACAATAACTGAAAGCGCCGATTCATAACGTAGTTTGTAAGTTGTGACGAAAACAAACATATACATGTACAGTTGTCTAGTGATTACCTATAGGATACTCTGACCTACCCCCTGCAGCCTTCACGATGCTATTGTGACTGTCGTAAACTCTCTTCACGAGAGAATTATTCAACATCTACATTTTCAATATCTCTCCCTTCAAACTCAACCTCATTTCTTTCCCTTATATGATCAACTATTCAAAGTATTTCCTATTATGCAGACCACCATCATCAGCCTAATAACGTAAAGTTAGCCCCACAGCTGTACTCCACAGCTGGGACACAGGCCTTCCCTGTGGAAGATTGGGACATGACACCACACGGGCCTAGTGCGGATTGGTGGGAACTAACGACTGCAGTAGCACATGGGACTAACGGCTTAGCGGGTTTTCCGAAGCACGGAGGAGCTCGAGATAGTAAATTTTTAGTCACCCATCCAATGATCAACCACTGCCAAAGATGCTTAACTTCAACGATCGCAGTCGAACGCGCTAACCACTTGCGCCATCGAGCATCTGCAGATAACTACAACTACAACTAAATACATGCTACGAAACAAGTGTTTGACCACAATTAAAATAATAGTTAATTAGCTTTCTAACCTTATGTGAAAACTATTTTTTAGTTATATGAGTATAATATAGAATGTTAGGTACTTGAAATGTAAATAAAAATACCAATACAAAAACAAAGTAGTATCAAGAAATTTATTGAAACTCGCTCGTTGACGTTAGGATTTCTTCTTAACATTGTTCTTTTTGCATAAGAACCAACTCCAATTGTTCTTTTGCAGATTTATATTGACTTATTATTTTATAAATAACTACCCCGACTCCACATTTCTCTCCTTTTTATTCCATAAACAAACAATTTCAAAATAAAAATCTTCAAACGAAAGATTCGCATTATATGACATTTATGATAATAATAATTTATTAAACACAACAGTGTACTGTCAGATGACAAATTTGGTGAAACGATTGATCGCTGATCATCGACGCTTCATACGTTCAGATAGTTTGGCTACATAAGCTTGTTGATAGTAGAGAAGTTGTGTGTTTAGCAATAAAAGTTCATAAATTTTAATTTCCAGTCATCGTCGAAGGCAGGAAATTGTCATACGAAGTGGTCGACATGAGCGGCATCAACGTGATACTGAACACTAGGGACGCCAGCGAATATCTCAAGATATCCGCCACGGGACTTGAGGCGCGCTGCGATTCCTACTCGTTCGAGAGTGTTCGATGTACTTTCCAAGTGGATGACGGTTGTTGGTACTACGAGTCGCTGATCATCACGCCAGGAGTCATGCAAATAGGCTGGGCCACCAAGAACAGCCACTTCCTGAACCATGTGAGTGAGACAGACATATATAGTAGTAAGAGAGGGAAGGATACGACGGTTGTTTATACTTCGAGGCGCTTATCATCACGCCTGGAGTCACGCTGATAGCCTGGGCAACGAAGGACAGCCATTTCCTGAACCATGTGAGTGAGACTGATATACGCAGGGTGTAAAAAACCCTCCGACACTTCCGAAGCCCACGCATTCTATATATCAAAATAAGAAACTTAGAAAACAGAATTGCTGGAAAACTATTTTATTTTCTGGTGTTACAAATGAACTGCAAATAGTACCACGCCATCAATGTATAGCGCGCAACAGACTGCCGACGCTCATACGGCGCTGAATTGAATCGTTGAAGGCAGCGTTAGTGTCTGTGCGCTTACAGTCAAGATACATTAAGTACCGACTTTTAAAAACCATTGTCAAAGGACCTCTGGGTTGACTTATATAATATGCTAATTTTCTAGCTATATTTATTTTATATGATTTTGTCTGTACAAAAACTTTTTGAACGGAACTAAAGCATCTTTTCGGCTACTTTAAAGGCTAAAAGACTAAAAGGCAAAAATTTGCCTGTACTCAGGAGAGGTCCACCGTGGCTATATTTATTTCTCACCAGCTTCCGCCTTTGAAAATACCACAGAAAACTAACATTTTTCCGATATAAAAAGGATCCGATGTCTGGATCCAGGTAAAATACTATGTGTGTGCCAAATTTCATCCAAATACATTAGGCAGTTTTTGCGTGATTGTGTAACAAACATCCAAACTTTCACGCCGGCTCAACACTAGGCTATTCGTGTTTGCTATTTCTAAAGTTTACATCAGTCTGTCCTTTTCATTCTTTATATAGCACGATTTGGACAGACTGGTGTCAAGTTTACAAATAACAAATATGAATAGCCAGGTGAAGTGCCGGAATCACATATATAATATTAAGTAGGATGTATTTCATGTATTCATGCACACCAATCAATTCATAAAACACTTTTTAAACGGGTATTAATAGGCGTCATTTGCGGGATAGCGTGAAAGAAAGAGAGTCGGTCTGATCTATCAGACCTACTATCTATAGTATCGATGTTAAAATTTACAGAGGGCAGTTACGTTGGTTCAGATTTGTGGAAATAATGTCTAATGAGGGAATTACGAAACAGACAGTCAACGATCGTCGCCTATTTGTACACAGGAGAGATTCAAATAGACCACGATCCATACTCGCTATCGTATGACGGGTGCGGTAAACTCGTGTAGTATAAGGACCGCGCGTCTGATGTGGCTATATTTATTTCTCACTAGCTTCCGCCCGCGACCTTGTCCATGTAAACGGATATACATCCTTATTTTGCTTGTATTCAGGAGGGGTATGGGAGACGACCTGTGCTTGCTGTCGTATGACAGGTGCCGTAAGCTCATGTGGTGTAAAGCCCACTCGTCCGGTGTGACTATATTTGTTTCTCAATAGCTTTTGCCCGAGACTTCGGCCGCGTAAACTGATATATATCCTCATTTTGCTTATGCTCAGGAGGGGTACGGTATAGGAGACGACCTGTACTCGCTGTCGTACGACGGATGCCGTAAGCTCGTGTGGTATAAGGCCCGAGCTTCGTCAGTGCCCGATGTACCAGCGTGGAAACCTGGCGATGTACTAGGCTGCCTTATAGACTTCAGTGCTAAAGAAGTTGTGTTCTCGCTCAACGGAAAACGGCTGCAGACATGTAGCGAGATCTTCGAGACCACGAGGTAAGTTTGATGTTTTTTTTTTTTGGGGGGGGGCTATGCAGTGCGTTCTAGAAGATCTATTGTTACTCGCCACCAAGTTAAAGTATCTTTTTTAGCCCGACAGCTTCCAATACGCTCAAAACATTTCTAGCTTTTAGAGATTTGATTTCGTCTGGGCGTATTATATGTCGTTCAAAATGAATTCTATGTTTGTGGATAATAGTCCCACATTCACATAGAAGGCTTTTTGGTGCCGGAGCAAGGAGCGTGAAACTCCTGATTGCAATATCTGCAAACATAAGCGTCACTTAATTTCATATAAAATTGATGCCTGTTGGACTTGCAGTGTAGCACGGGTGTTCGGCCTGCTAAGTTCTATTATTACTATCAACAGACCGTTTTTCTAGTAACCTTCTATTGGTGATTTAGCGTGCGCTAATCCTAGTTGGTTTAACCAGTATTTTTTGATTCGCCTAGAAGGCCGTCCTTAAAAATTTATATAGCAGGTTTCTAGAGAAGCCACAGAAAGGTTCTGGTCCCATCTTGCCCCTGTGCCTCTGCTCTTGCTAGTTCTTCAGCTTTCTCGTTGCCGATTATCCCTGAATGACCTGGTACCCATGGAAAAGTAACTTTATTATTTTGACCCAGGTTATTCAGTTTATCAAAGCAGTCCCAGGCAATTACGATCATATCGTGTTCGAGTTAATTTCGTTTAGCGCTGTTTGGCTATCTGAAAAGATAAATATGTCCTAGTTAAGTTTTGATGTGACTTTATTTTAGCATTATCTTCAGCCTATTAATGTCCCGACTTCTGGGAAAAAGTCCCTTCCTATGGATTGAATAGGGAGATTGGGCCGTGGCCCACCACGCGGACACAGGGCGGTTGTGGGGACTGCAGATGCAGCTGAGACTAACGGCTTAACGTGCCTTCAGAAACAAGGAGGAGCTCGAGATAATTACTTTTTGGTCACCCATCCAATGACCGACCATTGCGAAAATTGCTTGCCTTCCATGATCGTAAGCCAAACGCGCTAACAACCTGCGCCATTGAGCTCCTCTGCGGTACATATTGGTGGGTGCTTACGACTATAGATGCAGCCCCGACAAATGGCTTAACGTGCCTTCTGAAGCACAGAGGACCGAGAGATAATCAATTGAATGACCATTCATACGAAATTTGTTTATTTTCGCATAGTGGATTTTTCGTTCGAATTTGAGCGCCCGTCTGGGGAAGTAACCTCAACCTTACAGAAGACCACTGTAAAGTAACTCTACCTTTTGGTGGTATTGTGTTCCTATCGGTAAGTAACGTTTCCAGGCTCCACGGGGTAAGACATTCAAATAAAAGAAGAAAAAAACAAATTTATTTAAACATAACAGTAACATAACATATTATTAGCCGTCTGCTCGTATGCCTGGCATATGAACAGGCATCTTCTAGGCAGGCGTGTACCATCCTAGGCCTCATCATCACTTTCCATCAGGTGAGATTGTGGTCAAACGTATTGCCTATTACGCATAAAAAAAAATGCCCCACTATAACACATTGATCAATCTAGACGACCTCCGTGGCCGAGTGTGGTTTATACGCCGGGTTTCATGGTGTCGCCAACTCGAGCGCTTGAACGGTTTAATTAATTAAGCGCCATTTACACGATGCAATTTTCTTGTAGATACAAGAGCAATAATTGCATACAATTAATGAAGCGTAATAATTGACTTTCAAGAATTGTAAAAAACTGTTTGCATACGGACATAGTAAAAAGGTTTGCATACAATTATTGAATGCCAGTTTTGGTGGAAAAAAAGAATAGCAAATGTCCTTCGTTTACATCAATACAATTATTGTAAGGAGATTATGGCACAAGTATTGACATGTCTAAACTCATATTTGTATGTTATGTGCGTATACCATTTATCTGACAGTTGCTTCAAGAATTATGAATCACGTGTTTGCGTGGGCGAAATATTCGCCGTGAACTAGTTCGGCCTTTTCAATTGGGCGTAGGAACGAACATTATCATCTCGAACCTCACCTCTCTGTAGACTTTATTCTCCCCGTCTTCGGCATCCTCCGGGTAGTCTCGAACCAATCTATTTATGTGTGTGAATGCTGGAAATAATTAGATTGTTTGAAAGCAGCCAATGTGCCGAGCGTATCTACCATATGTAGTAGATATATTTTGGGCCGCTTCCGTGCAGTTAATACGGTATCTAGTCGTGTATATAACCAAAGAATTTGATAGTGAAAACAAAATCCTGAAAGTTTTACCTGCGTGTATTGCAGATGCGGTTTCTTCGCAGCCGCTAGCTTCATGGCATTTCAGCAATGCCTGTTCAATTTTGGTAGTGAGCCATTCAAATACCCGCCAGTCGATCGGCCGTATTCCGTATTCAACGACCATGGACATCTAACCGAAGAAGAGAAAAAAGTAAGTAATTATTTATTTTGACCGCTGTTTCATTTCAAAAAGAGATAAAAATCTTCTAATTGTAATGCAAAACAAGGAATATTAAATAATAACTGAAGTCCAGGAGAGACTGGCAAAATTGTACTAACATGTCGTGAGAAAATTGCAACTAGAGCGAGAGAGATAGCAAGTTACTCCCACCACAGCCATTGACACACTTGAAATATTCATAGAATATTTAGTTGTATATTCACTTTAAAAATCGAAAATAATTAAATTAAAATGGAATAAATATTTAAAAGTGCTCCCATATTACAATCGTGATTTGTTTGCCGTTTTTTGCTCAGATTTTAGATTAAGGGTTCGGAACCCTTCGTTCGCAATTCCGACTCGTACTTGGCTGTTTTTTTAATTTCCTGGTTTTGAAACACGGGTAAATTTATCGAGTAGTTATAGTTGACTGGTGATGGCGTGTACAGGAAATTAACCTATTTTCATACATTATATCAACAGGTGGTGCCCAGACGGGTGTACTTGGAACAGCTGCGATGTTCCAGCGTGAAGGAAGACTCGTGTACGCTCTGCTTCGACGATACCGCGTGTTGCATCCTAGAGCCCTGTGGGCATAGGTCAGAAAAACTCACTATTTTATTTATTGCTTTACATCAAGGTCCTATTTTTAGGAATCCGTAGCTAAATGGCAAAAATCGGAACCCTTGTAGATTCGTCATGTCCGTCCGTTTTTCCGTCCGCATGTCACAGCCACTTTTTTCCGAAACTATAATAACTACAGTGTTGAAACTTGGTAAGTAGATGTATTCTGTGAAGAAAGAAGTGGACCACATTAGTTAGTACAAATTTAGTTAATCAGCCAGTAGAAAACGACCCCCAAAATGATACAACATTTTTCTGTCTATAATATAGGAATGGTACATCGAACCTTTGGTAAATAAATAAAAATAATTAAGATCTCAACAACACCGAGCGAGTAGAAAATAACAATAATATCCAGTAGCGTCATCTATTATACAAAAGAAGAACTTACTGTAACAAAGTGACTTAATTAAGTTGACCAGTGCCCAGCCAGTATCTTTTTGATCGTATCGTGGGAGTGAGTTGATGTGCACAATGAAACAACTTCCTTCAGTCCTTGAATACAGTTCGTTTATTACTGTAGATAGGGCCTAAGCGTGCCGCGACAGTTGCGGCCGCGCGCTGCTTGAGTTTATCTACGTACATATACCACATCTTCCTCCACCATTATTTCAACTATTTACAAACCTGCACAAATAGAAAATTTTACTGTAATCGACCTTTTTTCTAAGGCGTGTGATCCTTGTGGCATCGAGTATTGGCAAAAGTTGTGCTACACGGCGTTAGCCAAACGCCAATAATTACGAGAGCCCGTAGGGTGCGTTACCAATTCGTGGCCAGTACGTGCAACACGTTGGGCATCCGCTCTGATGTAAGCCTTCTTGCAAGACTTGGAAGCACTGTTATAGGCAAATTTCAGTGAGTCAACCCCGGGACCCTTAAGAGCGCGGCCTCCGATTCAAGCGCGATATGCCGCCTGCTTACGTGAAACAGCATCAGCACAGTCGCGATTGAACCAGTTACAGATGACGTGTGCCCTTACTGATGAGATCATTGCTTCCAAGGGATGGACGCAAAGTAGTCGCGCATACCATCCCAATCTGGCGACCCATAGTACCTGCGTTTGACCACCAATGATCGATGAGAGGGGATTCCGGCCTATGGCACCTTGGCAGATATACCTTCGTGGGTCGATGCAGTCCTCCCGCCATCGATTCGACGGATGCTTCCGCTGGATCGAATCCGTCGCGGCAAGTCCCACTCGAGCTCTAGTTGTACGCTGGCTGACCCCGAAACGCACGTGAATCACTTCACGGGTTTTTCACCATGCGTACGGTTATTCTGTTTTGGCTATCGAAGAGGGCTGTCCCTCTGAAACCAAATTTATACACTTATCGGCTGTTATGGCTATCGAAGAGGGCTGTCCTCCTAAATCCAAATTTATACATATTATACATTCTATTTCCTACAACCTCTTCTACGATTCCCGATTCCCGATTCCAATGTACCTTTTCTATCTATATATCATTTAGCCGAGACCCTATCTCCTATTAAAAGTGATCTTTTATTTTTATTCTTTTGATTCTTAATTTCACTATTGTATATAACATGTAATCGGTAGTACAATGACAGCTATTACGATACTGAAACAGATACTCAAATAATTTGTCTTTTTAGGCCAAATTACATGTTAACAGAATTTTTCTGGGGGGAGGTTAGGTACTTGATATTATTGTTTTTACAGAAGATAATAAGATCAGATGAGCAAATTTTGACATCATTGTCAGAAACAATAAAATTTGGTTTACCGTATCGGGAAATCAGATATTTAAACTTGTTGATTAGAGCCTTTGTCGAGGTTCCCGATTCCTTATGCAGACATTCTAGCCATTTGCTAAAAGTGTCTGCAATAATAAAGGTATACCTGTTGGCGAATAGTCATATAATCTATGTGTATTCTGTACCACGCGCGGGAAGGACGCGGCCAGTGGGCAAGGCGCGCGCGCGCTGTTGTGTTTCTCAATTGTACACAAATTGAACAATTTGAAATAAAATTTTCGATATCTGCATCGATGTTTGGCCACCACATCCTGCTTCAAGCCTTACTCTTGGTTTTAACCATTGTATAATGTGTAGAGTGTAGCTCCTCTCACATATTTTTACGAAAAATCCCTGGTAGTACTATTTTATAGCCTCGAAATAAGCACCCACCATTTATTTCTAATTAGTATAATCAGTTTTACATTTAAAATATGGTAACCACTGACTTACAAACAATTTTACCTTTAAATCAAATAGGTTTTGTAGGGGAATCTGAAAAAATAGGTATGGATGACAAGTGTGCTATGGCCTGCTTATTGTAGTACTGCCAGTGCACAATTTTTTAAAGTAGGGAGATCTCGAAAAGTAATCTGCTATTCCATTATTTTTGCTGAAGAAAGATCACTTATAATTATACGTCGTGAGAATTATTGTGCATAACATACATTGCGTAGTTATTTATGCAATATTTTATAAAATCACTATATTCTGCATACTGGACCGTGTGCAAAAGGATAGAGAGAAGACAAACCCCGAGGGGAAATTGCATTCGCCTAGATTACCATACTACTAGAGGCACTCGCTATTTTCCGGCTTTAGCTCCGCTAAGGATCTCGCCGTCCCAAAACCCGGGGATTCTGTAAAGGTTATCTGCGACTAAATGTGTATGTTTTTACACTTCAAAACGGAAAAAAACTACTTTTCCCTATAATTCTGTCTCCTTTCAGAGGCTTCTGCTCTGTGTGCACATCGCAACTAAAAGAGTGTCCCATGTGTCGGGCGGCCATACTGAACGTACGCCGCGAGCTAGACAAATGACACGAGGTAAGTTGCCCACAAGGTCAGGAGTGTGAGTCACCAAGCCCCAACACAACGCTCGACGAAACACCAAGCCCTATCATAACGCTGAACGAGTCGCCAAGCCCCAACATAACGCTCGACGAATCGTCAACGCCGTCGTCTTGTGACGACGACTCGCAGGAACTTGATGATCAACAGATCGAATAAGAGCTTACTATTTTAAAAAATTACGTCGTGGCGTCAACTGTAGTCTGTCACACTTTCAACCTTATTTACAATAACGAACTTATTGCATTGGTATGTTTTGTTATTGAAATGGTGGTATTTTTTAGCGTTTGTAGGCACCCAGCCTGCGGTATACCGATGTTACTTATTTTATGTGGTAACTATTATTTTAATTGTAATAATTGAAAATATTCAATTGAATTGTAATAATTAATAATTTTCTATTGACCGCCAAATAATTTATTTTTAATGTTAGTAAAAAAGCTTCTCAACAGTTTTTAAAATCGAATGTGGCTTTAAAATTTCAGCATAATACTATGAATCTTGACTTATTCAAATTGAGAAGATCATAACTTCTAAAGATTTAAATTGAGGAATATTTCATTTACTCTTTCAAACTCTTCAACTCCTCTGCGAGAAACATGATTTACTAATAGTACATTACGATACGCGTGACCTAAGTTGACTATTACTTACAGTAATAGACAACTTAGGCCACAAGTATCGTATACTATTTTATAGCAAGTGTGACATAAACCCGCCCCGGACGTGGGCAAGAGGGGGGGGGGGGGTTCGGGGGGGCCGGAGGTCCCCCCGAGGGATGCGATTAGTGTTTTGAAAGTAAAATTCATGTATTGCAATCACAAAGAATTGCAATACAGACTGCAAGTCAAACTCTGAAAAGAAAGAATTCCGGTTCAGATTACCATTTTGAAAGTATATTTCAAAAGGAAAAAATCAAATATCATTACAACAAAATAGAATTTCAGTGTATCCATGAACGTTTATTCCTTGATTGGCATAGTAAAGTTAAGTTACGCGTATCGTAATGTACTAATTCTACATGAGTGAAGTTGGTCAATTCATTTACACACCGTGCAGAAATAGGCAACTTAGCTCACGGGAAAGCGTGCGTAAAGTGCGGGTTTAGGTCACACTGTGCTATAAATAAACTTATTATGTAATTAATTACACATTAACCTTACTTAGAGTTTTTTTTTATTCACTAGAAGATGTTGCGAAGATTGAGAATGCGTAACTTCCGCGGGGGGCTTTAATATATTAGACCTACTTCAATTAATATAGATCTTTATTTTTGCTGCTTATTCGATTTACTGTAGGTTTAAACAAGATATATTAGAATGATACATAACACGTTAGTGCTGCAGTTGTCTCTTTTTGTAAATTTATTCAATGTCAATAGGGTTAGAATTCGTTTTAATGTTCTATATTTAATTCCAAATCTTGAAGTGATTGCTGTTTTCGAATTTGTAGTTATATAGGATGGTTGCTCAATTGATATAAGAAATACATCATAGGTTGCCTGTATATTACGGGTTCTTTCACTCGCTATAAAACTAGTATCCTTAGTAGTCTATACTGAACTGCAGGAAATCCCTGTCCCTTTCCATTGAAATCTCAGTAGTACAACTAACACAGTTGTTCAGGAGTAAAGAAACGTCACTCCTTATTAACGAATCCGTGTTTACCTGAGAGTTTTTATCACGCTTTATGTAGTTCTTTGGATTTAAGTCACAGCAAACTTCTATACTGATGATGGTGTTGTTGCTCTGTAGCGAAAGTGTAGCGCCCGGGAGAGAAGAAAGGAGAAAGAAAAGCAACGCTTTTGTCGTGAAAGCACAGACCTGGGTTTTATTTGTTTTCACAACACAACCAAGTTTTTGGTACCTCATTCGGAATGAGGTCCAAAACCTGATAGAGCTCAATGATAGAATTGTTATTTTTCTCCTTGATGTCTACGCCATTGTGAATGTCAGAAGGAATTAAATTATTGTTATGCTGCAGAAAAAGTGTAGGAGACAAGACGGAACCCTGAAACACGCTGCGCTGGCATTTACTGACTTGAATCGCGAATTAGTTACAACCGTACGGACAGGAGTGTTTTGTTTATACAGGAATACAGCTATTTAAGAACAGAATTGAGCAGGCAGACCGTGTGCCGATAAGTTGGAGAGAAGGCATTTGTGGCAAACCCTTTCGAAAGCCTTGGTGATGTCAAGGCTCATAAGCCAACGACTCGCTTTGTGGATAGCCTCACCCCAGATGTGATTCGAAACATTTGAGCCATACTTGTCTTAGACGAAGTCTAACCACCCCCTTGAGCGCTCGATTTTTGGGAATGAGGTAAAAAAAAACTTGAACTGCAGACATGACCTTTTTTTTAATTTTTAATATATTTATGTATATGCCTACTTATCAAATAATTTTTTTCTATTCTATTCTACATTAAAGTTTATATTCGCTTGCATAAACTTTTTTGTTCCCAGTAGGTTTTGTGCGGCTGCAGCCGAGTCTGTAAATACGTTTGTTCAACGCCAACCACGGAGCACCCTCACTAGAGTCCGCATACAGGGGCAAGCGCTTACGCCAAGCTTAAGTAGTATTTTACCTATGCGTGAGGCACGCCCACAGACGTCGCGATACATGGTTTCATTCGGTAACCGAGCGTTGGTCGAACTGCTTCTCTCGTTTTCGTGTTAAAAAACTGTAAAAAATGCCGTACTGTGCAATTAAATTGTGTGGAAAGTCGAGTACAACTTCCAGTCTTCAAATAAAATGGTATTACTTTTCACTGGTTAGTTTAAATGCATTACAAAAAGACAAAAATACTGTTATATTAAATTGCTGTTAATTGTATTTATTTTTTGGTGAACGCGTTGATGTCTTTTTACACTATCCCTTTCTCGCATGGGCTACATCATATATGCTATCTCGCTCTCACACCGGCACGTGTATTGCTAGTGACTCAGACGCAGCTCATGTCTCAACGCGTAAGTTTATCGATAAGTTTGTCAGCTATGGAAATGGAAAAAATACATAAAAACTATTAATTTCATCGTATACAATAATAGATGTCATAAGTATACAACCAACAGTTTTTATTTGACTTCAAACATACCCTAATAAAATTGAAAAAACGCGAAAATTCGGTTGCATATTTGTTACTCTTTCACGCTAAAACGGTTAAACGAATTTGTGGGTTAAAAAAATCATTTCATCGACTGTAATTTCTAAAAAAATTCACTTTGTATGGATTTTAATTTCATGAGTTTGGAAGCTAAAACAAAAAATCCCTTTAACTAATGATTTTTTTAAGGATCTTTGCTGTTAGTTAAAAATTTTTGTTTATTAGATCTGTCAGGAATTTCAGATATTTTTAGCTTCGAAATTGACACTGAGAGTGAAATCCAGTAAACCTCTGTTCAGTTATCTTGATGGTATTCACAAACAATGTTTTAATCGCAAAAAAACTTTAACTAACGACATAGATTAAAACATTTCCTAAAATTATAAGCAATTCACATGTTTGTAAGATAATTGGTTGGTGGACAATCTGGTTTGAAAAATCACGTTTTTGAGCCAAACAGCGCACGGAGCGCGTATACGCTCTTAAGTGCGCATAGTTTATGACCTAGATAAAGACATAGAATTAACGATATTAAATACCCTAGATACACCGCGAGCACTCAAAATGTGTCCCAATCAAGTACACAGTCACACGCGGACCGTCGAAAAGTCAAGATGCCAAAGATTTCCGTGAAAAAATGCAGAAAAATACTAATAGTACGTAAAGTTTCGTTTTTTCGACGGGTATCTAATTAATGTTTTTTAAAGCAAATTTTATTGTTGTAATACTTACTATAAACTGATTTAATTTAAATTATTTGTGATATTCAAATGCATGGTCGGTTATGCGTCGCCCTTAGCCATCTCTTTTCTTCGCGGTCTGTACCTGCTATATTGCTAACAGCGCATTCAGAATTGCTCGTGAAAAGTCAAAAAAATAAGGTTTATATTCTTTCACATATAACAATAAATCGTAAAATTTTACGAACTTGACGCATGCATTTTAATTAAGACCTTATGCCGTATGCATTAAAGGTGACTTTCAATGTTTAAATAAGGCATTATATTGTTTTTGACCACGCGATCATCTTACGGACCTCCGTGGATCGTCCAATGTACCTTTTGGACACGTTTCGGCCACGATTTTGTTCGTTTTGTTGTATCTAGGGTAGTTAATATCTTTGCATTAATACTTCTTGTCCTGGACGTGTTTTTTTTTTGTGTTGCTTATATATAATTTAGTATGTAGTTACTAGTCGCGTCATGTAATTAGAACGCTGGAAGAAAGTGGAGAGGGTATGATTACGCATTTGCGCACCAAAGTACTAGGCCTCTATTCTAAATTGTTTATCGATAGAAAATATCGATATTTTCTAAAATCGATCTTACCCTCATCACTTCGCTGCACTGAGTATATGATCTGACCTTGACGCGTCCAATCACAGCGGAGCTGACCTCCCTTCACCCCACCGACTTTGGCGATTTTGATTCCAAACAAAATTTGTGTGATGCGGACTCTAGTGGGGGTGCTCCATGACGCCAACTAATTGGGAACCAATTAAATGTATACATAATATGCCATGAATATCTCTTGTATAGAAAAGTACATTATTTTATAACTATAAAGTGTAACTGCTTCGTCGTCGGGTTGTTTTTATTTGTTGGTGAAATATCTTAACCTCTCAAACAGATCTAAATGAATATTTTTATTAGTTATACTTAAAAACTTACCTGTTAAATGTATATTTAAATTCGTCGTTAAATTACAAATGTATAAACAACTTATTTAACATAATATTATCATGTGAATAAAAAAATATTGTATTGTGGCATTATTGATATGTATAATGCTTGTATTATAATGTCAAACGCTTTCTCATTTGCTTTAAAGGTGAGGCCTTTGTAGTGTAAAATTAAGGAATGTTAAACTTACATATAGTTTCGTAAATGTTACGAAACACATGTTGTTTGGTTTGAAGGTGCATAATAAACATTTGAAATGAGAACGAATTTAGAGTCTATAAATAATAAGATTACTTGTAATTAATGAATAAAAGTTTAATTTTGGAACCCGCAACAAACACGGCCACATATATTTTTATCTAATGCTGTATTAAAATTGTTTTATCATTAGCATAGTTATAATATTGTGGGTGACTTGTTGTTTCAATCGGGTTAAAATCTAACAACCTAGTTTTATAAGAGGCTTGTAATCTAAAGCTTTAGCAAAATCAAAGGCCAGTGTTGATGTTTATTAGTTCCGCACTAACTAATGTGCGACTGAAGACCGGCGCTCACAAGGCATGCATAACAAATTATATTTAATCATAAAAGTTATTTTATTTTTCTAACAATGCATATAATTATCTACAGTACAACAACTACGTTAAGGCGATAATCGTTTGCATATTAGTTCAATATATTCATCGAGTTCCCATCCATTTAGAAATAAAGTTCAAGCTACTTTCGCCCAAAAGTATGAGATCAACAACTTTTTTCTAAATACGTTTGTGATAGTGATTGAGGGCTTTTAAATTGATTTAAGATTTTAAATTATTATTTTTTTATTACTGTCGAATTTAATGAGCGCCAGTCTTTAAACTATGTATTTATACTCTATAGCTATACCTGATCAACATTTATACATATTGCAAGTAAAATTTGGTAAACTGAATGCGTCTATAAC